AAGAACTGACTCATTTGAAAAGACCCTGATGCTGGGAAAGATTGAAGGCAGGAGGAGAAGGGGACAACAGAGGATGAGATGGTTGGAAGGCATCACTAACTCAATGGACGAGTTTGGATAAACTCCGGGAGTTGGTGATGGACAGGGAGGCCTGGTGTGCTGTGGTTCATGGGGTCGCAAAGAGTCGGAAAAAACTCAGCGACTGAACTGAACATGTTCCATTGTGTATATATACCACATTTCCTTTATCCATTCGTTAATAAACACTTCCATACCCTGGAGATTGTAAATGCTGCTGTGAACATTTGGGGTGTGTGTATCTTTCAAATTAGTGCTCTGAGGGTTTTTTTTCAGACATCACCCAGGAGTGGAATTTCTGGGTCATATATATGGCAGTTCTCACTTTCAGTTTTTTAGGGAATCTCTGTACTATTTTCTGATTCAATGAACATGAACTTGGGTGAACTCTGGGAGATGGTGAGAGACAGGAAGGCCTGGTGTGCTGCAGTCCATGGGGTTGCAAAGAGTCAGACACAACTTAGTGACTGAACAACAACATACTATTTTCCCCAGTGACTGCACCGATTTCCATTCTCACCAACAGTGTATTCCCTTTTCTCCACATGCTCATTGGGTATTTGTGATATTTTTTGATGATGGCCGTTTTCTGACAGGTGTGACGTGATAGCTCCTCAAGGTTTGGATTTACATTTCTCTGCTGACTTGAGACGTTAGGCATCTTTTCACACGCCTGTTGACCATCTGCATTTCCTCTTTGGAAAAACATCTATTCAGTTCTTCTGCCTATTTTTAAATCAGTTGTTTTTTTTAATGTCAAATTGTGTGAGCTGTTTGTATACATTGGGCATTAACCCCCTATCAGCCACATCATTTGCAAATACCTTTTCTCCTTCAGTAGGTGGTCTTTCCATTTGGTCACAGCTTCCTTTGCCACGCAAGAGCTTTTAAGTTTAATTAGGTCCCATTTGTTTACTATGTGCCATTTTTAAACAAGGAATGCATTTGTGTGATGCTTGTGTAATGGAACAAATGTTAGGGCAGCCAGGACTAGAAGGAGCAAGCCAGCAATGTTGTCCGAGGCCCTGAGGGCTTCCCCAGGAAGAGGAGCCACCCCTTCTCTCATCGCCAGCCCTGCTCTGAGCACAAGGAAGTATTTCCACGTGGGAGCGGCACAGAGACTGGAGCCCTGACCCTCTGACTCTGGACCTAAATCACTCTTCAAAGGGAATTTAAAAATCAGGCGCAACCCAGAAGCCAAGCTCCTGTGTGGTCGGCAGGGTGGAGAGCAGACAGCGCTCCCCGGGATCCGGGGCCAGGATCACACCCGAAACAGGAAACCCCGTCTGGGTTCCTCCCGGCTGGGCTCCTGCGATGGGAAAAGCAGATCCCCTCCTTCTGTTTGGAATCTGCAGCCAAAATGGAACAAAGGCTCTCAGCATGCCTCCAGGAAAGACTAGACAGTTCCCAGGAGCAC